TGCAATGCCTGTGGCTGGGGAAGGGGGACTGAGGATCATGTTGGGCAGCAGAATGGGGTGTGAAATGGAGGAGCTGGTGGGGAATGAGCAACAGCTCCTCTGAGCTTCCTCCTACAGGCTTAGCTACCTGGTTCCCATCCCATCCACAATGCTCCCCAGCTGAGTGGATCTGGGGATTCTACTTAGCATCCCTGTGCCTCTGCAAAAGGAGGCCAATAATAGCAGTACGTGGTGCAAAGGGTTGTGTTGAGAATTCAGTAAGTCATTACGGGTGAAGCACTTAGCTTGCTCCTGGAGCTCAGTCAGTACTCCGTAACTGTTAGCCGGTATCACTGTTATTATTATGGCTAAGTGGTCTTCACAATCATGTGTATCAGAACCATCCAGATGCTTATTCCCAGGATGCCCCTCCAGAGACTGACTCAATTCATCAGAGGTGACCTAAGAATCTGCATTTTTACAAGCCTATCTCTCCCTCCAAAATTCGGTGATGATCCCCGGAAATTCCAGCTTTTCCATTTTCCCTTTGCCCTCTCCAGGCCACCCTCAGAACGCAGGAGAGGTCAGCTCTTCCTTTGTCAAACTCAATATGCCATTCAGAAATGGTCCTCACTCTCTCCTCCCCTGCCATTTTAAGGAAATTCACCTTTGGGTTCAAGTTCCAGCCCCTAGTTCTCTATACCTAATAAGCATATGTATGTTGTATGTTAAACATATATATGTTTATATATATATGTACATACATATACATACATAAATATATCTATAAAGAATGGAATGAATGATAGATGAATAATTAGTTTCATTCCTTAGAAGAGTAATTCTCAAAGTATGAACTGAACTCCCTGCATCATCTCCCTAGGATGTTCATCCTGAAGGCAGCTCCCAGCACCTCCCCCCACCCCCTACTAAATCAGATTCAGGAATCTGCATTTAATGCCTCTGCTTCCTCTGCTGTCCCCTGGAGTTTGGGGACCTCTGCTTTTGCTAGGGGCCTGGAGTTTTCTTAGAGCCCCAAGGAAGGGAAGTGGCCACCCCAATTGGCCACTGGAGATCACAGGTGTGCCTAAGTCTGCTTGGCCCAGAGTTCTGTCAGGGGAGGTTCCTGCCACCTTGTCCCATTGGACAGCCCCTTCCTGCAGCTGGGGACCTGAGCCAGGGCCTCTCCCTGGGGACATGGGTACAGACTTCTCACCCCGTAGATCCAGCCACTACTGCCTTCCTTTCTTCCTCCAACCCGCCGAGCCCTTTCCCACCTGAGGGCCTTTGCCCTCCTGCTTCCCTCTGCCTGGCTCCCCTTCCACAAGTTTATACTCAAGACTGGCTCCATCTCCTCCTCTCCTCCTGAGCTCTGCTCAAATGTCACCTGAGACCTTTCCTGGCCCTGGTCTAATGTGGCCTCCTTGCTATTTCCAATCTCACACTATGCTGTTTTCCCCTTAATACAACTTGTGATTACTTGGTTTCTTGTTTATTTCACCTTGTTCTGATTCCCTTGTCAGGTGGTGAGCTGCTGGGGAGTAGGGTGACTGTTACTCCCTACAGTCAAGCACAGTACCTGGCACACAGTCGGTCCACAAGAAATAATGGTTGGGTGGATAGACAAATGAATTTTTTTTCAAAGTCAAACTCCTTGAAGCCAATTTCCCAGGAAAGCAAGGGTTTTAGCACTGAACCCATGGGCATACCTTAAGAGGTCCATGGCAATCCTGGTACTGTGTGCAACGTTTTTTAGCCAAGTGCATTTTTTTTTCTAAAAGACATACCAAAGCTTCCAGTGCATTTTCAAAATGTCCGCCAAGAAGGTAAAAACTTGTTTTAAGGAAATCTATTTGGACTAGTGAAGGAGGCTGTTAACGTGTGAGGCTCTGTGGTGTCCTACAGCGCCAGTGTCTAAGGAAAATAGTGTCTGAGGCAGTTCTGGGGAAGGCAAGAGAGCCTGCTCAGCCTCTTCCTGGCTGGGAGCTCGGGCAGCCACCGGGTTTCTCTGGGTCCCCATCTCCTCACCTGTGTGGCGTGGGAATGAAATGAGATGACAGAGCAGGCTTAGCACAGGGAGCGGGTCCCAGCGAGAAACACCAGCCCCGCCAACATCCAGGTAGTTGCCTATGAAGGTGCGGTTCTCACTCCACCATCGTCCTCCCTGAGAGCACCACGGTGGGGTGCCCAGCCAACTCGGGCGTTTTCCCTTGAATGTCAGCTCAAACGCCACCTCCTCAGGGAGCTCTTTTCTCTGACATCCCTTTTCCTCCATTGGCCAGGGGGCCTCACTGTGCCCTCCCACGGTACCTCCCACCTCCTTCACCGCTGGGCCATACTTCATAATCCTATGCTCAATTGCAGGGATGGTTGAAGACTGTCTATCTCCCCACTGGTATGTGAGCTCCAGGAGGACAAGGACCCTGCCTGACCACTCTCTGTGGGATCCCCGGAGCCCACGACTCCTGACAGTCAGCCACGCTCAAGCTCACTCCAGGACCATCACACCCCCGCTGCCGTCTCAGCCTCCCTGTCATTCCTGCCTGTCTTCTGATGCATTTCATTCATGAAAGTACTTGATAGAGGTGGCTCCTGCATTCACTGCACACGTGTCCCAGGAATGGTCTCGGGGGCTCTCATGCTCCATGTCACTGACACCATCAGCTTCCCTGGTTCACAGGTGAGGAAGGCTCAGAGGGGTAAGGACAAGGGGGAGGATCATGATAATAACATGGTTTTGAGCGCTGGCCTAAGCACAATTTGCTTTAATCCTCACTACAGCTCTGAGGTCTACACTGTGATCCTTTTACAGGCCTGGGAGCTGAGTTTGCCAAGAGGAAGAGTCAGGAATTGAACCCTTCTCTTCATGACCCTGAAGCACATGCTCTGGAACAGAGTTGGCTCCAAATCCAGTCCCCAGCCCCTGAGCAGGGGCCTCTCATCCCTCCAAATCTATTCTCTCTTGTCACACATCAAGTTCTGAAAATCCACACCCTCCATGTTGTCCTTTCATTAGGCTCTGCTAATGAGAATCACAGCATGTGATGAGGCAAGACCGACAGCCCCCACCCCGTGTTAAGATGTCCAAAGAGCCAAGGAAACAGATTTGTTCCCCACGACAATGCCTACTCTTCTCTGTTTTCTTGACCAAAAAAAAATACCAAAATTCCAATCACTTACATAAGACCAGGAAGGATAGAAAGATACATTTCTACCTAAGTGATATTCTACAAACATCTCCAAAGGGAGCATGAACTGGGAGAAGGGACCTCAAATAGGGAAAGCCAACACCCTTAACCAAGGCTTTCTCAGTACAGTCTCTTACAAAACCAGAGTGAATTGCCCAAGATTGGCCCCAAGGCTTCTGTGAAATTTGAAAAGGACATGCCCATCCCTCATTCGTGTGGGACCCTCCACGTCCCCTGCAGCATGGGGAAACAGCACAGGGACAGTGACAAATGCCTTTGTCTCAGAGCTCACTGCAATGGAATGGTGGGGCCCAGACCCCCAAGATCTGTGCCGCTGCAGTAGAGTGGGCAAGAGAGTGGGGCAGGGAGTGCGGCCTAAGAGGATGCAGGAACCCCCTGGGCCTGGGAGGCATTGCATGGAATGTGGCTTTTGCTCTGTGTACGGTAGGAAACTCTGGAGGGTTTTGAGCAGAGGAGTGGCATGGTCTGCCTTACCTCTTAAAATGACTGTTCAGACTGCTGCGTGGAAGAGATTGCTGGTGGGCATGGTTAAAAACTGGGAAACCAGGCCGGGCTCACACCTGTAATCCCAGCACTTTGGGAGGCCGCGGTTGGGGGATTACAAGGTCAGGAGTTCGAGACCAGACAGGGTCAATACGGTGAAACCCTGTCTCTACTGAAAACACAAAAATTAGCTGGGTGTGGTGGCACATGCCTGTAGTCCCAGCTACTTGGGAGGCTGAGGCAGAAGAATTGCCTAAACCCGGGAGGCAGCTATTACAGTAAGCCGAGATCGTGCCATTGCACTCCAGTGTGGGCAACAGAGCGAGACACCGTCTCAAAAAAAAAAAAGCAGGGAAAGCAGTCAGGACACACTGGCAATAATTTGACCAAGCTGATGGTGACTGAGGAGTGGTTGTTAGACGTGATCATGTTCTGTCAGTGTCAGCAGGACCTCCTGACAGGTGGGTTGTGGAAGATGGGAAAAGCGGAGGCAAGGGCAACTCCGTGGGCTGTGACTGGAACAACTAGATGGACTTGGCACCATTTCCTGAGACGGTGAGGACAGGGGACTTAAACTGAATTCTCTCTGAATCCCAACCCCAGCTCCAAGGTCAACCTGAAGCCTTGGCTCCAGGCATCTTATCCAGAAAGGTAAAGTCCATCCACCCGGTCATTCATTTATTTGTACCATTAACAAATGTTCACTAGTACTTACTATGTGGCAAACATGGGAGGCACCACAGACATGAGGGTTAATTAGTCCCACACCCTGCCCTCAAGAAACTCATAATTTGGAGGAGATTCAGAGGTCAGCCATCTCCACTCATCAATTCAGTCACTTAGTCATTCAACAACATTCATTAGCACTCAATTTCTGGCAAACAAGTATTGTGATTGAAGTTGTTGGTCTTGCCCTTAAGAAAGTCCTAGTCCAATTGGAGAGCCTGGGGTTAGCCATCCTCACTCACGTGTCATAAATTCATTGGTTCACTAAAGAGTCACCAACATCCAGCCTGTGCCAGGGTCTGGGAGAGCACTCCTGTTGGATGACCCAACAGTAGACTCTGGTGAGCGTCTCCAAGCAACAAGGCCTCCCTCTGCAGCCCTGGTCTCCCCACAGGGTTCCACCTGCTGCTCTCCCGATATGAGCAGGCCCTGGTGCCAGCTGCCAGGGTCCAGGGCACCACCTCCCTGCAGCAGCTGGGGGCTAACTCTGATATCATCTTCCTACAGAAAACCATGAGCCCATCCTTCCAGACTGCCACCCTCAAAGCCATCTACCCAGGCCCCATCTGACACTCTTGACATCTGCAGGTCCCAGACCCTACGATGCGTCCCCTCTGGAGGCTCCTCATCCTCCTCGGGTTGCTGGCCTTGCCCTTGGCCCTGAACAAGCAGCCTTGGTCTGGCCTGGCCCAGGCCCACACAGACAGCAAATCCACCCTGGCAAGAAGTAAGCTAAGCCCCGGGCTCTGCCTGCTGCCCACAGGGTTGGGGAGGTGGGAAGGCGTCATCTGGGGTCACCACTAACCTGCTGAGTGACTTCAGGCTAGTCAGTTACCCTCTCCTTTTTTTCTCAGACCTGAAGTACAGAAAACTGAGGTTGTGTTGATCATAGGCCAAGTTAGAGTGCACCATCCTTGGCACAAAGAACTGCAAAGTCCCAATTTGTTTTATTTTCTTATTTTCCCCCTTTATCCCTTTTTCTCACTCCCGAATCCTTACTGCCTTGGCAGGCACTGCAGTGTGTTTAATGGGTGTATTTTTTTTTTTTTTTTTTTTTTTTT